GAAATAATAAAAATGCTCATTGAACTGTTGCTAAAGGAGTTTTCTAGCGTGTTGTGTTGCGCCTGCATCATGTGCCGCTCTTGGACTTGCGTACCAGCCTCCCCCCCCGTGGCCCTGCGTCCAGGTTCCCATGGACATTACACTGTGACGTGTTACAAAAACAACAGCAGCACTATTTTGGGTACTTAAGACTTTTTAGAACACGAACCCTCCGTGATTAAAAGAATTTTTAATCTAAACAGTCAAAGCTGACCGTGTGTTTTATCGTTTAGGTTTACGGGGCAAAGACAGTAACTGCAGCACATCCAACACCCTCAAATCAAATCAAATCACTTTTATTGTCACATCACATGTGCAGGTACATTGGTACAGCACATGTGAGTGAAATTCTTGTGTGCGAGCTTCACAAGCAACAGAGTTGTGCAAAATACAATAACATAAACAGGCAAATATACGAATGGCTACATCTGAAACTAATAAATATATGTACAATATATAATAGTATATGCATTTCTGGATGTGTATACTAAATATTTTTCTGTGTGTGTGTGTGTGTGTGTGTGTGTGTACACATATTTTACAAATTAAATAGAGTAAACAATGAATAGAATATATAAAATAAATAAAATAAAATATACAGAGTGAGACATGTGCAAAACAGTGGCGTTACTGTACAGTACCCTGAACACATCTGTGCGTTATCTCACTAATGAATAATTCCCTGGGCTGTCCAGAACACTCAGATACTTTTTTGGAGCTTTGAAGCTTTTGTTGGAACGTGGGTATCAAAGGTGACAAACCTCTGTGCACACGAGTTAAAAATAGGGGCTGTGCTTTGACTCCAGCGTCTGTTTTCCCCTCAGAGTGAACGGTTCTGTCACACATTTGTCAAAATTGAAAACGAAACCACTCAACGGTACATCAGGAGGTGCGATTAAAAGTATTCCTGCTTACATTTTTTCACAGCAGGTTTCAGGCTGACTTTTTTCCCAACTTGAAGAAATACTAGCTGTTACACTACTTTTTTCACACACAGTGCTGTGAAAAAGCAACGTTCACCCTTCCTGTCTTATTAGTTATTAGTGTTACTGTTAAATATTTCAGCTCAAGCTAATTGTTGGATTACATATAGACAGTCCACAGCAGGCCCGATGACGGTTTCATGCCTTCCAGCATCTTTATTTAACACTTTTCTCACGGTTGCTGTTACACACAACTCGGCTGCAGCTTCCCAGCTGCCAGGCTCACATATCACCACCAACAACAGTAACCAGGACCCAGTGCAGACAAAAAGATTTCAAAAAGCAGCACATGGTACCACAATCTAAAGAAACAGCTGAGAAACAAAGTTAGGAAAGTCATTTCTGAACTTTGGGGGCACCAGTGAGTCGCAGTGAGAGCCAATATCAACAAATAGTTAAAACTTAAAATGATGGTGAACCTTCTCACGAGTGCTCGGTCGACCAAGAACGCATCCACGACTTATCCAGGAGGTCACAAAAGAACCCAGAACAACAGCTAAGTTGTCTTTGACCTCAGTTAAGGTCAAAGTTAGATAAGACCCTGACTGGGCACAAAAGGCATCATGGGAGAAAATCAGTGCTGACCAAAAAGGCTCGTCTCACATTTCCTAAAAACCATTTTGATGATTCCCCAGACTTTTGGAGAACATTCTGTCCACTGATGAGATATAAGCGGCTCTTTCTGTAAATTTGCATCTTGTTCCATCTTAAAACTGACACAGCATTTAACCCACAGACTATGGGTTATTCATGCATGTAAATGAAAGTCTTCTAACACACAGGAGTGCTCTGCAGCGTGACAGTTGCTCTGTAACTGATATTTACTGCAGATTGGTTCCCCTCCCAGAAGCTAAAATGATATCATCTTAGAAACAATGTTGCAATGGGATCACACCACCAGCAACACTAATCTTTGAACTTTGCCTGCATTCGTCTTGTAAGCTTGTGACTGCAAAATGTGCCCACAGACAGCCAAACACACCAATACCTGCCAAAGTCCTGAACCTGCCCCCGGTGTCACTATGGGGGTCTCCAGCACCACCATTTTTCTTTTGTAAGACACACAGAGAGACTAATAAGGTGAAGATAATACCTGTTATGCTGTGGATGGTGTTGTTTTCAACTCACGCTGTAGATTATTTGTTTTGTCCCAGCAACACTGGCCTTGAGCTATTTTGCAGGCCTGTATAACATATTGATTTCTCCCACTTTCTCCTTCAGTTTGCTGTTGTAAGCAGCTGGTTGATGAGGGAGTCAGGAGGTCTCAGAATTCTGGGATGTTGTTTCTATGACGAGGAAATCCTGCTCGGGTGCTCTTTTGACTTAAAGTGGCAGTGACTGTTGAGCACCAGTGCACCTGCTGCAGATGGCTACCTAAAGCTGTGTCCTTCACCAGGCACATGGTTTCTAAGCTTTGGAGCATTTCCAATGTATTGTCTGCAGTGACGTTGCTCAATGAATAAGTGATAAGACAGCAAGCAGGATTCTTTGTGTTAGCATTGCTGAGGTTGGCTGTTAGTTCCCTTTATTGATCCCATGTGACAGGACGGCTGCTGAGCTGCTCTGTAGGGCAAAAACATCTGGGCTAGTCTGAATTTTAGTTTTTAGAACATTTTCCAGTTTGACACGCTGGCCTGACCAGTGCCAGTTTTCACAATATTTGCCCTTCTTCCTGAATTTAGTTTTTGCATGATACACAACAACCAACTGATTGGCAAATATTTGCAGAAAATAAAACGTCTGAGCACCAAATGCACATTATGGGTGCACACACACACACACACACACACACACACACACAGCCTCCTCCCTCTGCCACAAATTTAGATCTGTGGGAAAAACAGACTTCATAACTCAGCTCAAAAAGACAAAGGAAAACAAGAGCGAATGTTTCTTGGTTTCCCATGAAACACACGCTGCATACATTTTTAGCATGCAAACGAAGATCCTATAGCAAATTAATTAATATTTGCTGGCAAAATATACCAGATCATTTATAATATCCACAGTACTCTGCTGCACATGCACTGCCTTGATTTAATCGTCACAGTCAGCAGAGACCCATAAGTGCAGCGTTATTTAATGACTAAACTGCTGCTCCTCCTGGCACCTTTAAATATCAAGCGTCTCTTCATGCATTTACAGTTTTTTACAGACGCTAGGACACATTTCTCAATACTTAGGTCACGTTTGCAAAACTCCTCACACAGTGAGCACAACAGAAGTCTATGTGGGCTAAACTGAGGACCAGTTATCATTGTTTTGGCACAAAATGCATTCAATGACTACATCTCTCAAATTTCATGAATCATCTTCTCACTCAGACACAACAACTGCCAAAAATCTTTGTATGGACAGGACATTTTGCATGTGCTTACATACTGTTTTCAAAACTGTTAAACTTATGGCCAAAACAATAACACAATGCAAAACTTGAAAAGACAGCAAAATTCAACTACAATATTTTATTGAAACATATTTTAAATCTAAAAATGCAGTTTAACCAGCCACAGCTGATTCTCATTGTAGATGAACATCTGCACAGGTGTTACTCCTTCAATTTTTCAACTCCTTCAATTCTGGCAGCCAGGGGATTCTTTCCTAGGTGTGTTGCCCTAGATGACATAAGATGTGATGTGGATGAGAACCTGTGGCCAAATGGAGAAGACCGAGTAGAATAGCATTACTATTGTATGTGTATCAGTGGATGGTGTGTATACAAATTCTTGTATTTTGGGATTACTTAGTGCAAAAAACTAAAAATACATAAACAAATATTAACGAATTCTGCATGATGTCTGATTCATTCCAGTAACATATATTGAAATTATAAACAGAGATGTGTCCTTGTTTTACACAAGGAAACACTGTAATGCTACATGTTGCTAGTGTTTTTTAGGTCATTGTTTTGTGGGTGACAAAGTGTGTTTGTCGGCTGTCAACCTTTGCTAGTGTTCTGGAAGAATGAGTTTATTTGAGACCTGAATGAAGTGTTTTGGTAGTTGTAGTGCATTTTGAATGTGAAATGAACTGCTTTGCCAAGCTGACGGTCAGTTAGGAGGATTGTGTGAAGAGTTTTGCAAAAGTGACCTAAGTATTGAGACATGTGTCCTAGTGGCTGTAAAAAACTGTAATATGAAATCAACGCTAAGACTGGGGCAGGAGGGTGGAGACGTCTATACAGTATCAGTATCAGTACATGTTGTGTGCAACTGCAGTAACATCAAGTGCTTCATTTATGTAGCTGTGTTTTTGCTGAAAAAAGAAATAAAAATGCAGTTTGACCACCTTTTTTTCACGAGCTGGGCCCACGTCCTCATTTTAGGTTTGACAGCGTTTTAGTAGGTAAAAGTGATGCTTTGACATGAATTGACCTGCGGTTTGGGGAAGGCCTTGAAGGGGACTGGTGACGGCTCCCGGGACTGGCAGATGTACCATGTACCAAATAGGAGTGAAGAACTTAAAGAATTGAGAAGAAGGAGGGAGGGAGGGTGGGGCACGTAAACGAGAATGAACAGTTTGCAGAACTGAGGGAACCTATATAGATGACAGCTGGAAGGAGCGTGTTTGGAGGCGTGGTCCCGATATATAATCTCCAATAAAATTACAAGAAAAATGATATTTGATCTATTTTTACTTAAGTGTTGGGCTCAAGATGCTTGTAGGGCACTCTCTGGAGGCCGCTGTATGCTCTTATAGACAGAATCTGGTCGCTGCCTCATTTGGCAGGCCAGAGAAGCTCTGTGATGGCAACTGACCCTGAGGGACAACTCAGAGATGAATATATTACACACCATATGCACACAGTTACAACGGGACCCACATCCAAAAAATCAGCTGCAGTGCAGTCCTTGCTGGCAACATCTGGCCAACGAGACCTTGAAGAGTCATTTTAATGAAAAAGCCCCGGCCAGTGCCGTGAAAGCATAACAGTGAAAGTGGGCCAAGCTCCCTAAAATTGACTTGTTTTCAACTTACCTCATCAAAGCTGCTGTCCTCTTTCTTGAAAGCTGCAAAAAGAAGAAAGCGACACAAGATCAGAAGAAGGGTCTATTGGCACATTTTGAAGAATGAGCAAAATAAAAAGTATAACAGCAGAGATGCAGAAAAGAGTCCTGAGCAGCGACTGTGGCGTAAACTTGGCCTGGTAACGTCTCCAGTTTGTCATCAGAATGTCCAAAGTTTTATTTCCTGTTGTTTAGGTTAATCAGGCATGGGTTAGATTGTTGTTCAACTAAGCCCAACCAATACAGGATTTTAAGATCAATACAAATATTTGGTGTTTTAAAAATCTGATATATCTTTTTTCTTTGAGACACATGAAACATGAACAAACGTCACCACATCTGTTACACTTAGTTATGTATTTACTTGTTGGCACTGTGCCTGACTCCATTAGGATCAGGTGTTTGTTGTGTTCCTGGTGCAGGGTTGGAGGGCGTTTCTTCTGCTACTTCCTCACATTTTAAACTGAAATCTTCGTTTTTACATTTTTTTTAAGTGCTCATAACTGAGATCGATCCCCCAATAAATTGGTCGGGTACTGCAAAGCTACGACATACAGCATTGCTCTAAGAAGAAAGATATAAAAATTCCAGCTGCACACAATAAAATTGTTTTTCTAGTTACAGTTAAGTGGGACGTTTCAACACGGTACCTGCAGTATTAGTCACCACTGTTTGAAGAAACACTACAGAGTGACACAGAAACTACTGCCGACTAGACAATTAAATAAACATACATGCTCATCCAAACCAAAAACAAGTCAATCAAGAAAGTAAGGTAAAATGCACATGGCCTGTAATGGATTCAACAGATAATAACCACCGGACTGTATCAACACATTCTACACCAGTATGTTTCTACACCAGTATGTTTCTACACCAGTATGTGGACCTGCGGTAACGTTTTCACGTCCTCTCCGGTTAATGCGGCAGGTAAATAATCAGGTAACAGTGCATATTGATCTGCCTTATTACAAACCTGCCATTACTGTGCATTTAGTGACCATGATGAGACAGAGTCTGGCTCAGATGCTGGCAGTTCTCGCTGCAGTCTACCGGCAGCGTCTCCTTTCAGGCCAGGACAGACGAATGTCACCGAGCAGAGACTAAGTTTGTGGTCAAAGGCTTGCACCCGTTTGCCACAGCAGATGCCCCCAATTGTAAGTGAATGTGTTTAATTGTAGGCAGGGGCATTACTGGATATTCTTGTGTAACTGCTACAGAATAATTTATGTTATACTTTGTTATTGCTACAGAAGAATATTTATTTTATTATTTTACATTTACAATATTTTTCCCTGGGGACCCCATTGAAGAGCCATAGGCTGGATCTCTTAAGATCTCACTGTTGGGTTTGTAAGGCCATGTTACTCCTACATTTCTATCTTGCTCAAAGAGAAGATATAAAACAAAGTTCTGAGCTAATCGACCTTAGTGTTCTCCTTTTTTTAAAAAGAATCGATAAAGAATCGAATCGTTAAACAGAATTGAAAATGGAATCGGAATCGTGAAAATCTTATCGATACCCATCCCTAGCTAGCATAGCATCTTTAGCCACACTCGCAAGCTAAACTGACATGTTATGCATGGCATAAAGTGGCGTGCATTTTATCTGCATATAAAATATGTTTTTGTTTTTGAAGGATGTGATTATTGGTTTTGAAAGGCTCCTAAATATATAGACAATGCTTGTACTTAATGTTTGGTAAAATGAGTGAAACTTATTACGTTTTTTAGACTAACTGAGAATTCAGAGTGGTTTGTTCACACATGCTCATAAGCATGAAGCTTAATTTCATGCAGACTAAAAAAAAGCAAGCAATCGATCCAACAGTCTGACCCATTCTAGCACAAACCACAGGTGCTCTAGTCAGTTAGACTGTACTAATTCAGACTACCCCCTGGGTGTTTTTTACTTAAGCTAAGCAGCCTTTTCCTTACTTATAATACTAATAATAAAGAGCAACTGTCCTGGATCGCTTGTCTGGAAAAGCCACTTCCTGACAAATGTCCTGCCTCCTCCTTCACTTTAATTCTAAAATTAAAACCTGTGTCACTTTGTTTTTTGAATGGTAAATGAATCGATTCTTATCAGTCGATAACCTGCTCTGCCTTCTGAGCTAACACCACCAAACTGTGGCGCAGGATGTTGCAGCTGCATAAAGAAGAGACTGTGAACATCTAAATGTGTTATTAATGTCTAAATTACCAGAAAGGGTGTAACCAGTGATTCAATTATATGCTTGAACCCACGCTGACAATCAACTCCTCGTCATTTCAGGACATTATTGCATTTGACAACAATATTTTTCATATTTGTCTTTATTTTTCCTCCCACAGCACAAGGAGCCTGTCAAAAGTATTCTTTATATATGATTGTTTTTATTAGTTATTACTTCCTCATGATGATTACGTTTGTGTCTAAGGACAAAGGCAGCACAGGCAGAGTGTGATGTGGGAGGAGGTGGTGCTTCCAGGTAAAATGACTTATTTATCTCAGAGTGAGTTTGGAAGCATTGTCAGCCCAGCCACTGAGCCGTGAAACCGCTGCTTCCTTCTCCTCAGAGGATCAGTACACACACATTCCCCAAAGGCTGCACACTCCAGACAGCCGCAAATCCACACTCAATACAATGGATTAGTCTGCAGGTAGACAATGGAGCCTCAGCCGTGGATGACATGCAACATTTAGTATCCATAAACAACAAATGCAATTCTCACCGACCCGTGAATATTTCTATTTAAATATTTTTTATGCTTTATTCAAATAAAGTTAAAAATACTCTTATTTGGATTTTTATGTGTTTTTGATTTTTCTTCCCATATTGAAAAAGAACAAAAAGGTGAGACTCTTCTAATACGTTGATTTTATTTGGGGTTTATTTTTTATTGAAGAGGTAATGACTTTCTTGAACAACAAATTTCGAAGTCAGTGAACTTCCCGGTTGAAGGAAGATGAAATAAGAGATCAACAATACTCTAACGGAAATAGCAAAATGCCAAAGTGGCCGTGGTGAGTAGCACAGGTGCCCTCTCATGTAGGGCTGCTCGATTATGGCAAAAATGATAATCACGATTATTTTCACTGAAATTGAGATCACGATTATTTGACGATATTTATTTAACCCTTTAAGACCTACTATAGAACCAAGTCCACCAGAGCTTATATTATTTTTTTTACATGCTGTAGTGCCATTTGTGGGAGCATTTCAAGTTGCTATACATCAATACAACTGTTATAGCCCATATTTTAATAATATGTCTGCATTAAGTCCATAGTAATTACATAAATTGCAAAAAAGTGCAATAAACTACAAAAAAAATTGAAAATCGCTTTTGTTTTGTTTACATATATTTCTACTTGGAGAAGTTTAAGAGGCTTATCCCTCAAAACTTTAAATACAATAAAGTTGCAAAAAATAGTTTACAACAACAGGACATTTATTTTGAGTGTCTTCGTAGTTTTATTTTGGAGATACAGCAATTTTTATATACTGCAGGAAAAACAAAAAACAATCCTATGATGCAAATTTGCAAAGAAAACAGCAGGTGCATCATTTCACTGTGGGAAGTGTTACGAACAGCTGATAGGATCGGCAAAGCGTGTTTCTGGAATATTATGTTTTTGTTCCTGCAAGCGCTTTTTATGCAATTTTTGCAAAGCTATATGTGGAACGAAACCGTGACCGAGGACAAGCTGATGGCATCAGATGTAAGTACAACTCCTCCGGTTTCATATGCAAAACAAATTATTGCGCTAGCTTACACGGTTCAGGTTCTACAGGGATTTAAAAATAGTTACCCAAAACAGTATGCTGCTCTGACCGGCTTTAAAGGGTTAACAATGACTTTAAAAAATAATATAAAATAGTGTGCAACACCACTGAAGTTTTTTTTTAAACTCTCTTTTCAACCAGCGGCAGTCACTCTCCAAATAACTTCTGCTTAGCTTTCCGAGCTTCCCTCGGGTCCTCTTAATCAGCGGTCTCCAACCTTTTTTGCGCCACGGACCGGTTTATGCCCGACAATATTTTCACGGACCGGCCTTTAAGGTGTCGCGGATAAATTAGGGAGGGGCTAATAATCGGCTCAGTCATTTTTAATGATCGTTGAAAGCCCAGATCGTAATCGTGATTAAAATTCGATTAATTGAGCAGCCCTACTCTCATGTTCCTAATATTACCAAACGACATCCTGGTGCTGAGATACCCAATCAGACAAAACATTTTTTAATCTTTAAAGTACTGATATATATTGCTCATCACAGAGAAGCTAAAACTGCTCCAACAACAAAAATACGTTACATGTTTATCAAAGCAATAAATGCTAATGGTACAACTGATAGCTTTGTGCTGTAACTGCCTAAGGTTATGCTAGCTTAGATCAACAAGCAACGGACAATTTTATTTATATGGCACAATTCATTACAAGCAAATTCAATGTGCTCAAGCAGCAGCAGGAGCACCGATGGACTCCAGTTTATAACATCTTAAGGTTATTAACTGACTAATTAGCTGTTAATTAGCAACGATTTTCAAAATACAGTAATGACATCAAAAACTGATTACTAATATTTTAAGTCCCCATAAACTAACAAAAAGATTCTTCCCCTCATGAAGGAATAAATAAAAAAAAACAATATATATAATTATTTTTTAATCATTAAGGAAAATATGGTTGTTATATACTGAATTTATACCAACTAAGTAAATTTTATTTACATTACATTGAAAATGTACATGTAGTTTAACTCTTTAAAGTAATTATTTTTGGTATAATATACTGTTGACTGTAGTTTACTAAAATCTGTTAAAATTAAAAGAATATTTCATCATTCTGGGAAAATGGGTTTCACAGCAATTACAGAATATGAGCTATTGAAACCATACTCTGTAACTGCTCATACCACCCTGAGCACAGCCGATCTCATCTGGATGCGAGACCACCTGGGAATACCAGGTGTTTTTTGAGTGGCTTAGCTCAGGAGGTAGAGCAGGTTCTCTGTT